TTTGAAGTTTCAAGTCTATAGCTCATCGGGAGGTGAAATATTGATTGCAATATTCCAGGACCTATCCTATAGTGAAGTTAAATAAAAGCTTCTAAAAAATATACAACATGAAATTAAGAACAAAAAATTTCCAAAACTACTTTATTAATTTAATAATTTTTTCTTTACTGTTAAATCGTTTTTCGTTCCAAATTTTCGCATTATCGCACGAGATTTAGTATTGGAACACATAAACCCATTTCCAGCCTTTTCACCAATCACCAGTCATTGATGCTTCAGTGACAATGGTTACACAGCGTTCATCTGCTTGTTTATGACAAGGATAATCCGGGATTTCCATCGTGGCTCGGGTATTTGATCCAAAACTGAACTCGCATAGTATTGGAGGCGACGTCATTTGTCACTTATTCCATTTTATCATAACAGTCTAATCATTTACCCCGAAGCTTAGCCTGCACACTTTAAATAGACTCACACACAATATTTGATTTTTTCGTTTCGAAGTAATTGCCAATTTTGCTCAAGGTGTTTGACAATTTATCTAAAGAAATTACAAAATCTTCATATGTAATGCGCATTTTAGTATATGGTTGCCTATCGGCTATCAGTCGTCATACATAATGGGGCGCATGAGCAATTGTTCCTGGACTTATGTTACTTAAAGTAAACTACATATATCCGCTACAATGAAACGGTTATGTTGCACGGTATAGCAGTAAATTGAGTCACGGAGAGTTGAAGGCAGGTTTCCCAGTGCTTTTTCTATAGGCTCGGAATAAACTGTTCCAAAGGTAATTCGTTCGCTGGCAGCTAATAAATGAACCATTGGAATGATCTCCCTTACTTCAGTTACATAAGCCGGATTATTTACTACACTTTTGTAGCGAGTATTTGTAGCATCCTTTGTTTAATTCGGTTGATTTTTCGTGAAAAACGAATACATATATTTTCTTTTACCAGAGAAAATGGTTAGATAGCTTAATGAGAGTCGAGTTGATACCGTAATTAAAAAGTGTTTCTTTCGTGGCTAGCTTATTCGTACAAACGTTGACCCCACTTTACCAAAAAAAGTGCCATATTACACTTCAATCAAAATAAACACAAGTAATTTCAAAAAGATGGTGATGATTCTGACTTAGTTACGAACTTGTTATCCAGCTCTATGAACCCTTCTCCGATTTTTTGAAGAAATTAATCCTATTCGGTAATTGATAATTCAATTTTTTTTCCCCCAAATATTTTTTTCAAGCCTTTTCGTATCTTCTCAGTTTTGAGAACTAATCGTCATTTTTATACCTTTCATGAGCATGAAATAGTATTATAACTTTGGTCCGATGTTTGTAAGTACCAGAATAAGAAGAGATAGACCCATTAAAATGTATACTTAAATGATCAGAACGTCGAGCTGAGTCGATTTAGCCATGTCTGTCTGTCTGTCTGTCTGTCTGTCTGTATGTCCGTCTGTGCAATCTAGTCTCTCAGTTTTTCAGATATCCGGATGAAATTTGGTAGGTGGGTGTATTTTTATAATGTATTTATCATTTGTTGGAACCGGAAGAATCGGACCACTATAACATATACATAGCTCCCATACAACTGATTGTTCAGATATAAGATTTTTCGTTATAACTCTTCCATTTAAGTAGCTAGGAACATGAAATTTGGCACTGTTGTCACTCATTATAAAAAGAATACTTTCAGTGATAATAGCGAAGATGGGGTCCGATTGTTCAGATATGAAATTTTTTGCGATAACTGCTCCATTTATGCAGCTAGGAACATGAAAATTCTCGCCGTTTTCACTCAGTGTTAACAGAATACTTATAGTGAAAATTACAAAGATCGGGTCACTATAACATATATCTCCCATACAATTTAATGTTCAGTTATGAGAATTTTCGCTATAACTCCTCCATTTATACAGCTAGAAACATGGAATTTCGCAATATTTTCACTAATTATCAACTGAAAGTTTACAGTAAAACTAACAAAGGTCGGGTCTCTGTAACCTATTTATATCCTCCATACAACTGATTGTTCAGATATGGGGTTTTACTGTAAAACTCCTTTGTTTGGACTGCTAAAACACATAAATTTCGTAAGCTATTCTATAAATAATAATCCAAAGTCGACTGCGAAAATCGTCAAAATCTGTGCTGTATAAGCTTTATCTCTTATACCACTGATTGTTCCTATACCAGTTTTTGCGATATATCTTCTTTATATAGCAAGCTAAACCCATTAAGTTGCGTTACCGGTTTACATACCAATCACACAGCAGTGAAAATCACTTGGATTGGTGCTATATAAGGTATATCTGTCATACCTCTGATTGTTTAGATGTGGTTTTTCATATGTGTATCTCCTCTATCTATGTATTCTGTTAATATATAATTTTTTTCAAATGCAGTAATCTATTAAAGTAAAATTTTCAGATGCTCATGAAAGGTATGATGCCTTCGGCATAGCCTAAGACAGCGGTGCTCTAACTTGTTTTTATATGTTTTAGTTTGAGCCCGGCTTCCGACCAACGTCAAATAAAACAAAAAACAAGTGTTTTCCTAATAACGGTCGCCCTCGTCAGGCTGTGGCATACCACCTAGTGTATTCTGTCATGAAAAACAGGTTCTCATAAAAATACAATTGCCGTTCGGAGTCAGCGAAAAGGTCCCTGTCCTTTGTGTGACAACATCAAAACGCAAGCAACCTCCGAAGCTCGTCCAAACACTAACATATTATGCAAGCGCCAATCTATTATTATTATTAAGTGGCATTAACAAAATCAATGCACAAATATCAAACAGTTCTTTAACATTCTCTAACGTCACTTTAGCCACATCAACGAAAGCCTTCTTTTGAAATATAATTTTTAACCGACTTCCAAAAAAGGAGGAGGTTATCAGTTCATCGGAATATTTTTTTTATGTATGTTACCGCATAACTTTGGACCACGTTAACCGAATTCTATAATTTTTAAATGAAAGTTACCTCACAGGGTGTCCCGTACTAATTTGGAAATTACAGTTAATCTTAAATTTGTATATGAGAATTGAAGTTTAAGTTGGTTATTAATGGTGACAAAACAATACACGTACCGTAAGACCAATAAAAGTGGGGGATTCTAACACGAACATTAATACCAAAACGAAGTATGTACCTTTGAATAACAATAGACTCAAAATTAACTTGAAAGGACCATAAAATAAAACACAACGAAATAAAAACCCACTTTAAACAACTGTACTGGCTACTGGAACGGCAATCTAAACCAACAGTACACAATAATGTACTGATCTACAAGGCAATAACTTCGGCTTTTAAAACCCATCTGCAAACGATAAAAGCTCAATTGAGAATTCTTAGGAAAATAGCAAATGCGATTTACTACATATCTAACAGTGATTACATCGAGAACTAAATATTGACGTGGTTGACGAAGCAATAAAGACATAAAGGGAATTACTTCTAAACGGACTACTGAGCCGCACAAACCCAACAATGAACCAACAACCTTTCAAGGAGAAATACAATCTTAGGCGACTAAAGCGAAAAAAAACATGCATCTTAGCCGTTTTATGATCAAAAGAAGTCATTGTATATATGCGTGAAAAAGTAGTTTTATATACATGCATACATATTATTATTGTATTTATAAAATATATATATTAATTGCTTTACAGTGATCTGCAATTTTAAAGAATATCTTCTATTGATGTTTCACTAATAGATAGTTGTAATTTTTTATATGTAAGCAGTAAAAAATTTTTAAGGCTCAATGCAATGTTCTACATCCTATCGCTCCGTACTGAAAACTCTAAAACAAAATTTTACGCTTCACCCTAATTTGCGTCCACACGTATGTATGTAAGTAGATACATATTTATTGTTGATGTAAAACTGTAAATTACATGCATTCAAAATTACCTTTCAAAGTAACGACGACGGAGTCTGTCAATAATGTTAATCCCGTAATCCCGGGACTCCTTTTCTTGACAAGTGTTGGCTATATTTCCGTTTTTTATTTAATAATTAATATTTTTTATAAATGTCTAGCTCGTTATGCACATAATACCGTGCGATAGTAAAATTTACTCACAAAAATCTATATATGTATTCGCGAAACCATGAGCCAAATAGAGTAAAATTGCGTTTTTAGTTTCTCAGTCTGACGTCAGTAATTAAAAAAAAAAAAACATTTAAAAAAGTCAGTGAAATGTGCTTAGAGAAATTAAAGAGAAAATTCTGTATAATTTAAACAGATTCAATTTTTGGAGCATAAGGACGTGTATGCATTGAGAATGTCCTTTTAACATTTTATGGGTTTCAAACCCATTTATTTATTACACTGTGCAACAGCATTTTTAGGGGCGCAATAATTCCAAAACGACATTATTTTCAGTGTTTTCAGTGAGGGATATAACGGGTTAAAATGTTCTACAAAATTATTCCTCGTAAAATTTTAGTATGTGGCCCGAAAAAACATATTTCTCTCCGATATGTATTTTAACTCTTTTTTTAATTTATTCTACATAAAGGCGCTTAGGCAAAATAATGCAAATTTTGCCATAGCAAAGAAATTTGACCAAAGAATGTAAAACGAATTTGAGGTTTTACTATATGGATCATGGTCTTTCATCCAGAGTTGGAATCATTCCGCCCCCCAGACAATGACCCTCAAATTGTTGCGCAGTGTTATTTATTTTATGGTAGGAGAGATAGAAAATTTTGTTTCGATTTACGTTGTTAAAAAGTAATGAATATCTAAATTCCGGGACCCCGATATTGTGATAATGACATACCGAAAATCCCGAGATCGTAAAATGCGAAAAAACTAACATTCCTAATGTATACATACATTTATTTTTTTATACTACGGATACCTTTTAAGAAACTTCTTCTCCGTCCCTTTTTATTGTTTATTGTTTATTGTTTCTTTCTTGTTTCTCTCTCTTCTCTATTATTGACGTATTCATGCTGGTCTTTTTCTGCCTCTTTTCCAGGACGCATGCAGCAAATGCGGCCTTGATATCACAAACGCACATGGGTCGGAAAGTGCCACCCCCTCTGCTACGCTCTCGCACTTTGCCAGCTATTATTATGCCCGGCATTCCGGTTGTCTCGGTTAATACGGACCAGCAATTTGGTAAGTATCGGAACATGTTATTAAAAGTATTTAACTAAATGATGTTGCGTGGATGTATATATGTACATACATACATACATATGTATATATGTATTGTATGTATGTCTATTTAAGCTTGCAAATGTGAACAGATAAGAACTTTCCCTGTCGGGAATTTCATAGTCGACTACTAAAATAGCCTACTTTTGGCTAACTTATTACGGGTAACTTTTAATTGGTTTCAAAGTCTTGCAGGGCTCAACAGAGGGGATAAGTATGTATGTGTTCATGTAAAATTATTTCACCATTTTTTCTTTCGACAAACAAACTTGTGTTCAAAAGCAAAAAAATTTATGTAAAGTATTTATGTACATACCTATATTAATTGTCATTGTGTTTTTATAGAAAGCGAGAAAACATGGATCTACCCTGTGGGGAAAATCTCTTGTTTTGAACTGGTGTGCTTCTAGTATATTTAGAACCACCACTAGTTCGCGATAAATCTCTATTACATGCAAATAACTGGCGAATTTAACACGGCGATGTCATGGGAATTTCATATTTTTCCCAGCTGCATTAACTTTTCTATACTTCAGAACCAGTCCTAAATTCGACATATGGGATCTAGTTTGCTTTGCTTTGTCTATACTGGCGCCCGCATAAAAAAAACATTAGGGCTATTCGCGATTCGGTGTATAAGAGCTGACAAATTTATGCAATTGCAGAAATATGCCATGGATTGTGAGCGACCTTTATTAAACTGTCATGGCAAAGCTTTTGCAATACAATTTTTGTGCATCAGCTTTGGTTTTGTTTATGAATGCAATGCATAGCATTTTTATGCTATGGATTTTCGGTATTGCAAATTTGCCAAGCCATGACAAATGCAAATGCGTGTATTTTGTTTGTGTATTGCAAATAATTTGCAATACAAATTTGCAATGCAATGATGCTAGGCCATTTGCACCGGATCGCGAATAGCCCTATTAAAGAAAAAATTAAATGACTATTTGTAAACCTACTAGGTATAGAGGGTGCTTTGTATCTACTATTACAGTAAAGAGAGTACATTGAAATACAACGGAGAAAAACTCTTGGCAACAAGTGGTACTTTGGACTGAGTAGGCAATTGCGAAGTAAAGTCATCTCTTGTCGTACAAAAATCTCTCTCTATACGTCACTCATATTACCCGTGTTGGCGTACAGTGCAGGAGCATAGACAATCAAAACATCTGATAAGGCGGCTCTTGGAGTTTTCGAGGGAAAGGTTCTGCGGACATTTGCGCATAGGTGATGGCGAATACCAATTTACAATGATATAGAGATAGTGCTGCAGATTAAAATAAAGTAGCTCCGCTCGCTTGATCATATCGTACGAATGGACAGAAATTTTCCAGCTATGAAAGTTTGTGCCACTCTGCCAGAATCGCGAAGGCGGCTACAACGTCAATCAAGAAGAAGAAGATAGTGCGTTTGGGCTTTAGCTCGTAGGCATGTCTTTGCACCGATCTGGGTGCTGATGCATAGCGTTGGGCCCTGAGAACCTATGGTGAAAGACTAGGATTGGAATACAATGATTCTTGTCATACCAGATGCTCTGCAAATGCTCTGCACTGGGTAAGACTAGAATTAAGTTTCTGTCAAATCTTTCTTTTATGATCTAAAAAACATGAGTGATGCACTGCATCTTTTTATGTTCTTAAACTTCAAGGGCCGAATTTAAGAGAAATAAACAACAAAGTATCACTGGTATGATGATAACCACCAACCGCGGCTCTGGAAACACTTGTAGACCTGCCACCTCTGCGCATTGTCATATGTAGAGGGAATTATGCTAACTAAACTCGACTTTTCAAACAAATCGAAATCATCTTCTAAAGTATTTCCAACTAAAATCTTCTTAAATCTCTTTGACATTGTAGTACACATATATTTCAATAAACTTATGAACTAAATTGAATTTGGTTGTTGAAGCACGTGGCAACCCTCTTAAATAAAGGTCAGAATTAAAGAGTTTTAAAACGTATTTCGATTGATACCCATATTTTAATAAATTAACAGGTGGTAACCCTCTTCCAACACCCCAAAAATATTCTTAGCATTCAAACTAAAGGTTTCCTAACACTCTTTCGTTTGACATCCATATTTTGATATTTCTTATAACTTGTGTATAAGTAAACTAAATTCGATATTTCAAGCAGGTGGCAAGCCTCTTCAAAATATTTTTAAACTACTACTTTCTTTAACCCATTTAGTTTGGCGCCAATATGGTGATTTATATTTCTCTTACCTAATTCCCTTAATTCAAATTGATTTTGATTTTTTAAACAGGTAGCAACCCTCCTAGAATTAAGTTAAGAAAGAAGGCTTTTCAACGTCATTTCGATCGATACTCATTTTGTAATAATTGGTTAAATTTTTTAAATAATTTCAACTTAATATTTTGAACGGTGCTTATCTAATGGCATTAATTATTAAAAAATTTACATTTAATTGTTAAACAGGTAGCAACCCATTTCGAAAAAATAAAACCAGTTTGCACACCCAGAAGCCAAGCGCTATAATTTTACACCCCATTTTTGAAAATCTTATGTCCTGAACAAAAAATCCCTTCGCGTACTATATATAGATACTAGGAATGTTAATCAATGGATTCCGAGATCCTATTGGCAAATATTGTAATTTACACTGATGGCAATAATAAAAACTCCTTTTCTTGACCAGTATGGGCTATATTTCTTTTTTATTTAATAAATAATGTCTTAATATATACAAATCCCGTGTCACTGTGTTCGTTTACGCTAGTCTCCGAAACCGCTTAACCGATTTCAATGAAGCTTTTTGGGTGTGTGTTGTTGGTTCCAACTTAGGATAGTTTTGAACCCAAAAAAATAATATTTTTTTTAATCGAAATTTTTTCTATGATTCTCGCGTTCTTAAAAATCCCGTGTCGTTATGTTCGTTTATGCTAACTACAAACTGCCCATATCCGAAGCGGCAATTATCCAATGTTATTCCCGGCTACGCTTCATATGTATGTTTAGGTAGGGGAGAAATAGGTAAGATAGCAACAAAATAATGTACATGTTATGTATTTATGTGTACATATGAACATGCGCACATCAACAGCAACAAGAAATTTACCATTTGGACACCATCCAATGTTATGCATTCCCCTGGCTGATGTTTGAACCGTAACCAGGGATCGTTTTGTGCTCAAACCTAGTGAAAAACAACAGTAATCTTTTGTAAATTTCGATATCAAAGGAAACGTAAGAAACAATATAGGTCTTCACACCGAGCTCGGTATTCGGTAACTCGGTGTCTGGTAATATTTTATAATGTATTTTGTTTGTGTAAAATAGCATAACACAAACAAAATACATAGGAAAAAATTACCGAACACCGAGTTACCGTGTACCACGCTTCGGTGTGAAGACCCAAAATATCTACGATGCATGTAACCTGCCTATGTATCGGTGTGTAGCAGGACACACCCGAGCGCACTTGTGCACAAGGGTATTATAACTTTCTTCACAAAACGTTTGTTTGTAACAGGCAAAACGAATCGAGATAGATGTAGACAAATGTATACGTAAATGATCAGAATGAAAAGAGAAATCGATTAAGCGGTGACTGTCTGTCCGTCCGTCTGTCCGTCTGTCCGTTCGTCTGTGCACACGATAACTCGAGTAAAAATTAAGATATCTTAACGAAACTTGGTACGCGTACTTCTTTCGGGCGTAGGACGGATGGTATTGAAAATGGGCAAAATCGGACAATAACCACGCCTACCCCCCATATAGCGGTAATTTTCAGAAATACGAATACTGCGATGTTTTAATAACTACTAAAGATTATTAACTCAAAATTGATATTTACAATAATTTTTAGACGAAAAATAAGAATATTATAAATTTTTGGAAAATGGGAAATGGAAACTTTGCACAATTGTTGGCCAAATGGCCGATGGTTATTTTTCGGACAATAACCACGCCCACATCCCATATAACGGTATTTTAGAGAAATACGGAATATTCGATAAATCAGTAAATATTAAAGGTAATTTATTAAATATTGATGCTTGCAACAATTCTTTACCAAGAAATATACTTATGATAAAATTTTGGAAAATGGACGTGGCACCGCCCCCTTATGATCACATATATGTATCTCGGTAACCGCTGTACCAATTTGTACCAAACTCGGTATGGTTATTGTGCTTGTCACATAAAAGCGAAAATTCTTGAAACTTCAATATTTCGAAATTTAAAGACGATAATTTACTCAAAATGGGCTTAATATTACGCCATTGTCAGATGCCTTTTGTTTTACTTTACATCGGATTCAGATTGTGTAGCGACTTTTGTTCGTATTTCTTTTCTGACGAGCTACAAACTAACTCTACAGCTTCTAAACTTTTCTACAGACAATACACATATGAAAAAGTTTACCCTTAAAGTTATTGCGAGTAATTAATTGGCTGTCATAAAATTTTCCTAATACTCGGGAAGTGTCTAAACATACCTGCAAGCAGTGGGAGTGATTACGAAACTAGGAAACTGTAACAACTAATATGTACCCACACTTGTCCAGTTTCGCTAGATGCTGATGCAAACAATTTGCTGTAATTCAATTAAAGTCAGACTACTTTCAGCTAACAGGGGAGTCTCGTAGGAACCGGTGTTTTTTTAGATTTTACGATTGCTTTCTGACTTATTTTCTTCTTTTTTTTTGCCAAAATTTGTTTTAATCTTCTTCTTACCCTTCTAATATCGACCTCATAGTTTACATAGGTACGTGTACACTGAAAATAAAACCTGCGTAAATATAACGAAAACTTGCGTAAATCTTACGCATTTTTTCGTCATTTTGAGCCACGAAAGTTTTCGTTGATTGTACAAAACCGTTTTCGCACATACTACGAAAATATGAGGCATCAGATCTTTAGTACATTTTACGAATGTATTCGTTATATTTACTAAAGAATTTTGTACTATTTACTAAATAATTTCGTGCTATTTCTTAGTCTTTTACGAAACAAAAATAATTCGTATATTTAACGAAATTATTTTCGTAAAATCTGCACTTGTTTCGTAGAATGTGCGATTTTGCTTTCATTCTCCACACTGTAAAAAACATATTACGAATTATAACACAACACTTTTGTTTTGTTTTTATCGTTAATTTTAAGCATTTTTGTTTAACAAAACGTTTTGCAAAAATGCTTAACATTAGTGATTAAAAAATAATGAAAGTGTTGTGCTATAATTTTAGTAACGTTTTTATAGTGTTAATAATAAAAGCAATCATACGTTCTACGAAAGAAGAAGAAGAATTTTCTGACTACACTGTAGTTTAGAATTAATAAAAAAGGTTATTTTACCTATAATAAAACATAAGTATTTTATTTATATGCATACGATAAGGTTCTATACTAGATACATATTTTTTATTGCTTAGGCTTCATTCAATAAAGTATATTGATGCAAAGTGTTAAACTATGAGACTCAAAAAAACTAAATATAATTAGATATAAAATATGAAAGAATATAAAATATACTGGTTTTAGTTTCATAAACATTATAATATTTTTATGTAGAGGCACTTGACAGATTCGCAGCTTCATTGATGTTTGTTTCCTTGACGACTACAAATTAAAGGAAAATTATAAGGCGTCTGAAAAGCAAGTTTCAGTGAAAAATCATACATGTACTTACTTTTAATTTCATTAAGTAGTGCTCCTGGCGTAGGCTTGCCGTTGATAGGTAACTGATGAAATTGCCTATTTTTCAAGTCACAAATTGCAGCGCAAGGGGCAGCGTAGGCGATGTTAAAAACATTGTATGCTTAAAAGCATAATATATCCACAACTTTAATATTCGATTGTTTTTTTTTATTTTTTATTGTTTTTTTTATCCAGCAAAACTTTCTTAAAACGTTTAAAATTATATTGTACGTCTCACAGCAGCCAACCAGTAATTTCGCAATGACACGCGATACATACAAATATGATGAAATATTAAACTGCCGGTAATTTAGCATATTGTACGAAAATATTCGTCTGTTGTACGAAGTTAAAAAACATGTTTCTGCATTTGTTCTATGTACGAAAGTATTAAGTAAATTTTACGAATACAGAATTGTAGATTTCGTATATTTTAAAACCACACGTAAATATTACGAATGCCTTCGTACAATATACAAAATTATTCGTACAGAGATTTGTTCAGTAATTTACGAATGTGTTTCGTAAAATAAACGTAAAATTTCGTAAATTGTACTGAAAAAATGCCTTACGAAAGTCCTTTCGTTATATTTAGTTCGTAAAATCTTGTTTCGTTGTGAAAAATGTGTTCGTATTATGAACGAAAGTTTCGTACATTGTACAAAAACCAAGACTACGAAAGTCTTTCGTAGCACTTTTACAAAATTTTATTTTCAGTGTATGGTGCTTTTATATAGAGGGGCACTACATATGTATCATTACATTTATTTGTTGCATCGTTGTGTTGCAACTCACACAATAAATCCAATTATTTCCGTGGTCATAAGCAATAACCACCCAAGTCTACTTAAGAAAGAATTGAGTTATATATGCTATCACATTCTGCAACTACTATTCCATATGTATGTGAAATTCCGCTATTAAAAAAGTTATAAATGAACATATTTTGGTTTCTCCATAAGGTTAACATTACAATCCAAATATTTAAAACGGTTTTTTTTTTTTGAATTCAGGTATTTCGACTTAGGCGGTTATTGCTTATGACCACAGATTTTACCTTATATTTTCTCACAACAAATCCAATTATTTTACCTTATCGTTTATAACAACAAATTTGCAACTTATTCTCACAAACTGTCTTAACAAATTTAATTTTACACTACCTCCGCTTCACTTTTCTAGACGAGCGCAGTAGTGGCCTCTTGGGCACCAAGTCTGGCAGCGGCACCAGTACCGGCGGTGGTGGCACCAATCGTTGGTCTCTACTCACCCGCCAAACACCCACCACACCTGGCTACACCACCACCAACAATAACAATAATGTGGTGAATGTAAAATCATTGAATTTACCAAAAGACGACATGGGCGTATACCGTCGCAAATCTTCCGGTAGCACTACCACCCATACAAGCACTAGCATCAGCAATAGCGGCACACCCATTGTTGGTTCTCAAGTAGCCGACGCGGCCCTGTTGATGCCCACATGCGAGGATTTCGAATGCCAAGCAGCGGATGGATCAGTTTTACTCAGGTAAGCAAGATTTCTTGCAACTAATTAAATTTTCAAGTGTGGTAATAAACAAGGGCATACCTTAAACTGTAAGCTGTTATGTTTTATTCTAAAACCTTCAAATTTGAAAATATTTACAGGATACCTGCACCGCACGTTGTGGCCGCGCGCGCCTACCGCTTGGCGTCAAAGAAACGCAGTACTGGTAACACCACCCACGATAGCCAACAAAAACAACATCACCCGCAGAGCAGCAGCAATACATCGAGCGCTATGGTTACGACCGCAACTGCCAGCGGTGCTGAAGCACAGCATCCCTCAACACCTGATGGCGGCGATACAGGTGGCACCACAACCAATACAGCATTGACACGACGTCTGGCCAAATTGCTTCATCAGTCGAGTATGTCTGCCTCGAGGCTAACAGCAGCCGCTTCCCCGCATGGTGATAGCGCCGCTACAGCCACCAACACAAACAATTTGCTGCCAATTATGCCAGCAGCTGCGTCTAGAGACGGTGGTAGCTCGGACGGCGGTGGTAGCTGTTTGGATGAGGCACCACGTCGACTTTCGTGGGAGAGGTGAGTGATAATATTTATCGCAAGCGCCGTTGAGATACCCACATAAGTGCTAGAGGAATGCGACAAGATTTGCACTGGGTACATACTTGTATTAGCAATAAAAATATTTTTTTAATATGTAAACTTTTTGAATCAAAACGTAATACAAAAGCGAATTTATAAAAGGTGGTAGCAGTAGTACAAAAAAAAAAATACACTAACAAATTATACGCACAATGACAATAAGAACACAACAAATATGCACCAAACACATAATTTTGACAACCAGTACAACCTTTTATGAATTCGCCTTGCGTAATACGTAAAATGCTATATTTTTCCTTTTGCTTTTTTGACACGCCGGCGTGGCTTAAGCGTCTTTATATTCATCATTCTTAGCATTTTAATATATGCAAATGTACATACATATGTCTCAATAATATCGATCCCTTTGACCTGTTAAAAACAACAAAGTTATAATATCCTTGTATACAAGTGCGCTGTATAGATATGTACATAAATATTTCTACCAAATAACCACATTTTGAGTTCAATTCTCCACATTCCAGCAATTTAATTGAACTTTCCACATAATCAAAAGGGTATACATATGTATTTAATACTCACAGAATTTTTTATGAGATAACAGTAATTATGTTAGATATAGTTAGGTTGAAATGCCTACACTTAGGGAAAGGGCAGCAGGCCCATTGTGATGCCATATACAATCATCCCCGTTATATTGCGACGCTTACTTGGGATCAAACCATTTCCTTCGCTAATGCTCTTATGATGATTTCCGCTATCTCTGCAATGTCTTGTAGAGAAGGCTTTACGTTTAGAGGGTGTAAGAGCCGGTACTTTATACCGCCTAGTAAAAAGGACTACCTAAGTTTAACCGCTGTCCTGCGATTAGTTGTGATAAAGGTTGGTTCACTTCCCTTATTGAAAATGGACCAATTCAATCTTAGCAAAAAATAATAGATTGACTCGCCTTATTCAATCGCATTCACGTCCTCTTCCAGCATTAATATAGTGTCCAGTGGCTTCACCAGCCTATACTCCTTGCACCCTATTTGCAGGCTGACTGTAGTGATGTCTCCAGTACTAAATTGCGGTGGGATACAAGAGTTTGTATTAGTTTTGATTAAAATGTAGGCGCGGGGTTTCCCTTTACCATGAGCACTAAATAATTCCTACTTCAGGGTACCCAAACAACAGATCCTATTACCAGTTATCCATGGCTCTTGGACCAAAGCGTTGTGTATTTCACCTGGGGACAGTTGAAACAGGAGAGCAACAGATGCTGTTTTACTGTGATGATATGTGTGACCCCCATCACGTGAATCTCGTGAGAAACTCAATCTCGTTGTATGACCTCCTCATGGACTTGCCTGCCGCAGAGTTGGATAAGGCGTACCCGCTCAAGTTCTCGATCGCTTGACATTCGTTTCCCTCCATCTCTTAGTCCTTGTTGGCTTTGGTGGTTTCCTGGGGCATCGGTGTCAGTTTCGTAAACTTGAAGGGTAATCTTCCCGAAGCCGTAGTTCACCTTGTAATCGGTCTTTGCTAGCGCCTCCAGGATTTCGTCGTTCAAGGGCAGCACTGCTTGCATTGTTGGCGTCGTTGGCTCTGTGTTCACAACTATCCAATTGTGCGTACCTCTAAACTATTAGGCGGGCCCCCTGATACACTTCGCCTACCCTGCCGATTGCCGCGTTTTACAGCTCCATCATTCTGCAGTCATCACAGGCAATAAGTTTCACGTTCCCCTGGAATCAGCTATCATCCGTGCAGGAGGGTGGTGTTCCAGGACTCTATTTCTTCATTTGCAGCGCAAGCGGCATGAACCTATCTCCATTAGTTCTTGGGGCTCCTATCTTCCTCATTACTTTCGTCTCTGGTGTCCTTAATTTCCGGTTCTTAGATATCTCCGCGAAGGATCGAATCCATGCACCGTGTGTCTTGACCCTTTTCGGTGTCAGTGCCGGGCTTCCTGACCTTTGACGTTTTTAGGTCTCTGATTTGCGACATTGGTTTAAGTAATACGAAATACTTTTCATTGCCCTCGCTATGTCCTCTTGTACCTTCACGAAGTCCTCTTTCGAGACCAGAATTCGCGAAGCCGTACCTCAGTCTTGGTGGGTGGCCCTCGCTGGGTTCATTCGGACGAGGTCCTTGGCCCTATTGCAAGATACTCGATGCTTACCGTGCAAACCTTCCGACAAATGCTGTCCCGCTCCTTGTGTGAACGTACCCTTAGGGTACTTACATATAGAGAGCCGAGCGACACTAAGCTAAGTAAGTCGGGGATTATCAGATGACAGAATTTGACTTCGACTTCGAAATGTATCACCCTATCTCGAGTCACTGCTCGCTGAACAAACAACATGCATTTCATCAGGGCTCTGACAGCCGAACCATTTTGCACATGGCCGCCAGGAGAGATTAGGAAGAGATAGAATCCATTCAGCACTTCCTATGAGAACGCCCCGTACCCCGGAAAGCGCGTCGAAAGTTTCTGGTGGAGCACTTCTTCAAGAGCTTAGGAACAACTTTTGCATCGCAATAGGCCTGATCGGTCGCCTAGTGATCACTTTTAATAGAGTTGCTCGTTTAACTAACCGCTTAGAGCTGTTCAATTTATTAATTTTAATCAAGAACCGATCATTACCAAATCGGTGCTTGAGTATTCTATCGTCACGGGGACATTTGCACAGCAAAAATGGATTTTCTTATTTAAATTTACAGCAATTCTATGTTTCGACAAAGCCACACCTAATGCACTAATTTATGTGTTAGGTATTACCAAATACCAAACAAATGCCAACTTAATTTTATTCGGGAATATACTGAGTTGTAATACAATATTTAGGAAAAACCGCAGAATCCATTTTTGGACTCCAGAAAATGTATTATACTGCGAAAGAAAGTATAGATACGAGCGTTATACATACCTAATGACAGTACGAATGGGGATTGCTTTAAATTTCCATTTTAAAGTTACCTGATGACAGTACGAATGCGAATTCCAGCGATTTATTTTGCGTGTTATTCTATTCGTTATAATAGTTTTAAAGTCAATTGAATTTAAGACTAAAAAAATGAAAATTAAATGATAGTTTAAAAAACTAAAAACTCGCTTTTATTACAATGTGAACTAAAATGTAAAAAATAATTTATAGAAACGCAGATTTCATTTAAGGGGAATATGAACTTCCCTAACTTGATTTAGTTAAACCCTTAAAACCAACCTAAAGTAGGATTCAACTAATTGACAATAAAATTAATTTTACCAGAAAACAAAGCATGGGGTGTTTGTTAGATTTTGAAGTCCTGCTATTGACAATATTCAATATTACTAAACTGAAAATTAAAAGTTCAAAACAATTGATATCATTCACCCCAACTTGTGTCTTCCGCTAAAATTTATTTAATTGCCAATCACTTTAATCCTATTTTAGGTAGGTTTTAAAAGATTAATTTAATGAAGTTAGGGAACTGCCTATTCCTCTTACACGAAATCTGTATTTCTATAAAATATTTTTCACTTTTTAGTTTAACGGTTTTAACGGTTATGGTGGAGATTTCGTATATATGACAGATTTACATCTTTTTTAATCTAGAAACTAAATCTTACTTTCCAAATCCAATAAAAACAATTACACAGGTTTACAAAAAAAGTGTATGCATATTAAACCAATGTTATTCGACACACTGAATGCGAATCCGAGATCCGTTATCCGCCATCACATCAGGTTCGTGGTCAGTTAAAAGTCAGGAAGGGGAAAATGCAAGACAATTCTTCTGAATTTGTCCTCTAGATGACCTTGAGGAATCAAGGGACCCCATATTCGGATTCAGCGACAACAAAAACCGAATATTTTATTTTTATTTTTTTATTTTTATTTTTTTTATTGAATAAATTTTTTTTTTTTCTATTTGACCCTCAAATTACCTCGCACCTGACATCATGGAGGCATTTCTTCTGCATGTATATACGTGTATGGCATTTGTATTAGTGTTAATTTTTAATTAACTTTTTCGCTTTCTTTTAAGCTAATTTTAATTTTGAAAAATTTTCTGCACTTCAACATCAAAACCCTTTCCTAGTGATGTGTAATTCTTTATACGTTAGAAGTATAGTTTAGCTGTAAAAGAAAAAATGTTTGTCTATTTAAATGCATATAAAAAGGTAGTACATATATGTATATACTTATGTATTTTTGTACTTATAAGTACATATATGTACGCATGCATATGGATGTACAAAGAAAAAAGACTTAAGGCCGCTTTCTCAAGTGGCTTTTAAATTCCATCTGCCATTTAAACGCAAATTTTGTTCTAAAACAAGTAAAGAAGTATAAGTTGGGGCGAAACCGAACTTTATATAGTATTTTTCCCAATTCCCAGTTTCAAAAATATGCTATGATATATTGAAATAATTGGACCAAATCTGGTGGAAATCGGTAAGGAGGTTATCAATCAATAATCTTGTGTCTTGTTAAAAGATTGTTGCAAGTTGGCATCTTTAGTTATTGAAAGATCGGGGTTTTCGTATTTCTGAAATTTAACGTTATATGGTAAGTGGCAGTAACTTTAGTCCGATTTAAAAAAATTTTAATATATTGCATTTTTTGCGCCAATGTTGATAAACGTGCCGAGGTTGGTATAAATTGATAAACCGCGTACCGAGATACACATATGTATGTAGGCGTAAGTGGGCGGTGCCACGCCCATTTTCCAAAAATTTCCCTAAAAATCATTTTCTACTAAGAGGTCATTGCATACATTGATTTAGAGTAAATTAGCTTAAATAGTTATCGTAGTTTTTGTATTTCTGTAAATTACCGTTATATGGGAGGTGGGCGTGGTTCTTGTCTGATTTCCAAAATGTTCAACCAGTTTCTTAGTGAGGTGCTAAGCAATGTTCTCAACGAGTTTGGTAGGGAATAGACTACAGAGATACAGCATTTAATCATGAGTGGACATTTTCTAAAAATTTTATAACTGTCTTACTT